TTCTCCAATGAACGTAAAATTGTGACAACAGAGATGAAATGCCTTAGAAGAGCTGCAGGAGTTTCAAGGAAAGACAGAATATGAAATCATGAAATCAGACGAATGCTAGGAATAAAGCCAGTCTTACAGGTCACCAAAGAACAACAAATGAAGTGGTTTGGACACCTAACAAGAATCCCCTGGTACTATTCGCCACAGCGAGCCACACTAAAACGTTACAACGGGTATAGAGCGAGTGGAAGACCTCGGAAAAGATGGAGTGATGGCATTAAGAACAGCCTTACAGAAAGGAACATCAGTCTTGACAGAGCCCATCAGCGAACATTACATCTCTCCCCGACACTTCAATGAGGTACAAGATGGAAGAGAAGAAGAAGAAGATGAAGCTCCGCCCTCTTCTTCAGTGACCAACAAAGAGTCGTCACGTTAATAATCCCAGTTGCAACATGATTACAAGTCCGCCTCTGTTTGCCCCTCAATGTTAAACATCTTTCAGAACCTTCAACCACTTCCTGTTGAATTATTCTTTTAGTATATAAATTGTCTATTTGTTCTATTGTCCGTTTGATGCCACATGACATTCGTCACATCTGCCTTACTATAAAGTAGTTCACTGCCATGAGAAAGGACAGCTTGCTCGTTGCCTCACACACCTGAATATCATAGTTCGAAAATCCATGATATGCTTTTGATCTGGGTCTTATCAAGTGATGCAAGCCACTCTGCACGCAGCACACTACTAGTACCAACTTTCTGAAGCACGCTCTGTGAGTCTGTTACAGTTATCACTTGCCGGCTGTGTTATTCTCAAGCCATCGGAAAGCTGCCGTTGCTCTCTGCTTTCATTGCAATAAAACTGCGTGTCAAATTTTCATTGATCAGCTCTTGCACTGCTGACTCGGTCGAAGGTAACTATCTCTTTATGCAAGCAGGATTGCCAGACAAACACATTTATTTTATGCCAAAACATTACCCAAAATATGCAGAAAAAAAAGTGTAACATTGTACTCCCTTCACATCAAAAGCTCTAGATTGAATTCTTCACTGTCATCCTCGCTGGAACAAGTGGAAGACAAGGCGTAAACCTTTTCGGGTGTAAAATCTGTAAGCATTTTCTCAGATGGGGTAAAGTCTTTGTACCTCATCTATAATGATGGCATATTTCTTGTTCCGATAAGGTCATCCTTAAGTGCAGGCGATATAATATTTTTTTTTATTAGGCATGAACATTGTTATATGCAACTGTATATGCTCCAATGTACTCCCCCGACCATGCGCTCTCATGATTTCACTTAGATGATAAATCGTGCGTATTGCACAATGACAGGTCATGTCTACAGCAAGTTGAAACTCTTTATCATTACTTTGCCTAGGTGTCATTGTTGTAATAATCTGTGACTGGTTTTTTGACAGTTTTCATCCTATGTTTTATTTTTTATTTTTCATGATTTGATATGCTAGTAATTCTTGGTGAACAGTTTGCAATATGCTGCCTCTGATCCATCTAAAGATCTGTTGAGCCGTGGGTATGTTTTCTACCAGTTACTATTAAACGTGCGTTGTCATAAGATGCTTTCCATATTTTTTGGATGACGTGGCCAATGGTAAAAGTAATAATATCTATTACAAATAGAACTAGGTCTATATCATCTCTATTTTCTCTCCTCAAGTAGTTTCTGAACAGTCTGAATCACTTGTTATCAGTGGTAGGTTTTAGTTTTATATCCGGCATTTACTCTAGTAGATTAACATAAATTACAGACGGGGCATGGTTTATCGAAGTCACGATCCGTTTAGGAAGACAACAAACACTATAAGAAATGGCGCGAATCTCCGTTAGTCCGTACTAGGACATCACAAGAAAGTCAAACTGAAAAAAAGATGTTAACTGTAGGATAACATTGCTTTTAGTAAATCTGCATGTTTCTAACGGAGGAACCATGAAGAAAATGTGAGCACATCTTGATAAGAAAAGCCAGAAAAAACCCCAAATATGCCAGTTCATTATCTTATGTCAGTTCAATTTCAAATATGTCAAATTTGTGGAATCTGGCTTCAAAAATGCCAATATGGCAACCCTGTATGCAAGTCTGTTTTGCTAAGTGGCACTACTTGCCATTCTTCACAGGGCGCTATCGTGTCAGTAACACACACAGTTCTGATCATGACTTCTGCCTGTGCCATCCAAGAGCCCACCTATATTCAGCCGTTGTCCCGTGTTATCCCCTAAGGCAGCGATTTTCAACCTATGGGTGGCCACCCTTATAGAAGATCAAACGATTCTTTTACAGGGGTCCCCTAAGACAATCAGAAAACACATGTTCACTGTAGTTATAAAGGAGCAATGAAGTAGTAATGAAAATACTTTTATGTTTGGGGGTAGCCACAACTTGAGAAGTTGAATTGTATTAGTAAGATTAAGAACCATTGCCCTAAGGCTTCATGCAGAGGGTGTTCCATGTCTGTTATGACTTTAAGGTACATTTTCGTCTGTAAAACC